TTGCAGGAAGTCTAGTCTTCACTTTATTACCTGAGGTAAATTCATTGAAACTAATTATGAAACTCAACATTTCCAGTAAATTTACGTGCGTCATATATCATACATTAATAATTGATGCATTTTTCACTAATCGAGTTCAAATTTCACGAAGCAATTGATCCGGTTCAAAGTAACATCGATTGGCCTCAACTAAACTTTCGATATTTTTTTTCACATTAGGATGAAAAGGTGGTAGTTCAACTATATATAGACTTCGTGATTCACGTTGAGACTTAATGTGAATTCTTGAGAACTTAACAATTAAGTCAATGAAAGGTACAGTTCACAGTCGATCAATTAAAAGTGATCAATAAAGTCAATAATTCAAATACGGTTGCATAATTGAACAAAGAGTAACTTCGCAGTACACCTGCTACGATCCATTGTACATAATAAAAATTCTATGAAACATTTAGAAACGTCAGACACGCAATACAAATTAATTATGTTGACTACGTTTAGAAATCCACAAATAGTTCATATACGCTTTTTAACTGCTCTTTTAAGCAATAGTTCAAAAAATATCATAGCATAATTGGACTAATTAAAAGTACGTAATGAAATTTACATAATTCAATCACGAAAAACAAACACAATTTGCTGTTGAAATAGATAAAATGTATGGAATTATTTGAAGAATTTCAAACTGATAAATAAGCAAATCGAAAAACATGAAAATATTTGCGTGTTTCAATAATAATAAAGTTAAATCAAGTTAAAAATAAATTGTGCAGATATGAAATGTTATTTCAGCTCAATAACAATTGCATCGAATCTTAAGAAATACAAATATTTTCGAACTAAGTACAACGCATTTGTAAACATAGCGAATTGAAAGAAATTAGAAGAGATTTTCAGAAACAAAAAACAAATAGTTCAAATACACGAGGCCTGCTAATCGGGAAAGTCAATAGTTCAAATATTACAAACAAGTATTAAGTAGGAATAAATTGGTAATGATAACTGTTGACGAGTTGAATGTACTATGAGTTGATGGAGTCAAAAGTAAATCAATATAAAAAGTTCTAATTATTTTACTTAAGAAATTAGTTTATAGACAAGAAGACAAATCATTGAAAAATGTAACTATAATTTGTTAGGTTTTATAACTGTTCTAATAGAATTAAGATTACTATGAAAATACTTAGTTTTAAAACCATAAAATCAATAGTTAATATTGATTTAGTATATAGTTTATAGATAGGAAGCCAAATTATTAAGATGCTAAAAAGAACTATAGTTTATTAGGCTTTGTAAGTGTTTTAATAGAGTTAAGACTACTTTGAAAATACTTAGTTTTAAAACCATAAAATCAAAAGTCAATATTGAATTAGCAGCCAAATTAAATTATTTTTAATTAAATTAAAAGCCAAATTATTGAAATACTATCAAATTATGTCCAAATATTTACAAAAAAGAACTATAGTTTCTTAGGTTTTGTAAGTGTTTTAATAGAGTTAAGACTATTTAGAAAATAGTTAGTTTTAAGATCATAAAATCAAAAGTCAATATTGAATTAGTATATAGTTTATAGACAAGAAGCCAAATTATTGAAATACTATCAAACAACTTCAAAATGTTTACAAAAGTAACCATAATTTGTTAGGTTTCGTAAGTGTTCTAATAGAATTAAGACTAATTAGAAAATACTTAGTTTTAAGACCATAAAAGCAAAAGTCAATATTGAATATGTATGTAGTTTACAGATAGGAAGCCAAATTATTGAAATACTATCAAATTACGTTCAAATATTTACAAATAAACTAAGGTTTTATAAGTGTTTTAATAGAGTAAATATTGAATTAGAATAAAAATATTTAGTTTTAAGACTATAAAATCAATAGCCAATATTGAATTAGTATACAGTTTACAGACAGGAATTCAAATTATTGAAATACTATCAAATGAGTTCGAAATATTTTGAGAAAAAATAACGATAATTACTTAAGTTCTGATAGTCTTAAGACTACTTTCAACGTATAATAATACCTCGCATAGTACGGGTATTGGTTCCGCCAATATCCCGGACTGTTTGAAACTAAGTTTTTGAAGTGTTCTAATAGATTCAATATTGAATTAGTATGAAAATACTTAGTTTTAATACCATAAAATCAATAGCCAATATTGAATTAGTATACAGTTTACAGACAGGAAGCCAAATTATGGAAATACTATCAAATAACTTCGAAATATTTTGAGAAAAATAAAGATAATTACTTAAGTTCTAACAGTCTTAAGACTACTTTCAACGTACAGCAATACCTCGCATAGTGCGGGTATCGGTTCCGCCAATATTCCGGACTGTTTGAAACTAAGTTTTTTAAAGTGTTTTAATAGAGTCAATATTGAATTAGTATACAGTTTACAGACAGGAATCCAAATTATTGAAATACTATCAAATGAGTTCGAAATATTAAGTAACAATAATTACTTAAGTTCTAATAGTCTTAAGACTATTTTTAACAATACCTCGCATAGTGCGGGTAATCGGTTCCGCCAATATCCCGGACTATTTGAAACATAAATAAATACAAAAAATGATGTATACAAAAAGATGTGTACTAATTTTTAGTGTGTTTGAATATTCAATCCGGACTACAGTGAAGCCAGACTGTTCGAATCAGGACTATGCGAGGTATTAAGAAAAATCAATTGTAAAATAAATCTCATAACTACTAGTACATTGAACGACAAATTTAAATGCAAATAAAATATTGCGAAAGTCGACTAAAACCTGTTTGCACGACAAATTTCAACGCTTTGTTTTTAAAAGGCCGACAAAGCGGTGTTATTATTATCGTCAACGAAGTGAATCATTGTCGCTTCAACTTGTTATTCGAAACGAAACATTAAGTTTTTTTTTTAAATTTTCACATCGGATTACTTCCATAATTACGATTCATTCATACAGTTTACCACCGATTTCTGTAAATTACACCAACACGAGTTTTCCATTTTCCACAAAAAAAAACTAATAATTATGCAGTGTAGGTGAAATTGTTAGATAAGATGATATTCATTATTTTTATGTTTTCAGGGACCTTGGCCTTGATCCTCCTGCATTTTGATCTGCCTCTGTACTCGACCTCAATACCTATATTTAGAAGGCGATTGCGTCACGATCAATCGTCCCATCTGCACCTGGTAAACAGCATTTCCTGGCATCGATCGCGTGTATTATTTCCACACTACATACTACCAAGTCAATTCCTAATAATTAATACGCAACGAGTTGATTAGATGTGATTTCGTGGGCAAAAATCGTGGGTCTGACCCAAATTGGATAAATGAAAGATATTCGCACTAATTTTCATTCAAAACAAAAAAAAAACAACAACATTTTTCTACTACGAAATTTAGATACTCTTATCTACACTTCTGTGTACGAATCTTTATATGAATCAAAACAAAACAAACCAAAAATACGTCCGTATTTTGAAAAATTGTCTCAAATTAGATTTCGATTGTGTTCGTTCCGTTATCGCCACGCGATAATAATTGATTCCACGCAGTGAGATATTAATATGTAATGATAATATATTAAATATAGATAAGTTTAGAAACAGGAAAGCGTGCGTCGAGCGAGAATCACACTGAATTAAATATGAAACTACGAACAAATGTAATGTAACAATCCAGTTTTTCTTTGTCCCACATAAATAACTTATATAATCATTAGTATACATGGATTAGTTTATGAACTAATTTCATGCTTCAGTACATAAATATTTGATAATTCCTACTTTTTTTCGGTTTTCCCTTAAAATTAAAACTTTTTCCTTACAAACTAACTTAATCTTTCAAAGCAAATAATTAATATTTAAGAAACTGGACAATCCGTCAGTTTTGTAAATCCAATTATAGATGATTTTGTTCAGACAATTTAACACACAAATTTAAGTCTATATTAGTTTCTATTACTTATTTTTAGTATACTTCGTGATTAATTAGGATACTGGGAATCATTCCAAAACATTTGCTTTAAACGTACGTCTATCTAGTTACATCTTCAAACAACTAAATACTAAAACTTATACAACCTGGAAAATTCTAAAATCATCATAAAAATTTTCCAAATTACGTATAAAAATACAATAGGATTAAATTGCAGCTAGCAACAATACTGCGTGTCTTTTTTTTTTGCATTACACACTATAACTTCGATGGTGACACGCATATATAAACTGTTTCGGTTTTCTCCTCTAGTTTTCTATTAATACTTGAACATATAGATCAGCATGTTTACATTCAAAGCTCAACAAAACAAACGCATTTAAAATTGTTGCTTATTCTGCGCAATTCGCATCAGATTACTTAATGTTCATGGACTTCCTGCATCATTATAAAATTATATTCAATGTAAAAGTATTTTGTATGCAGATTTAGATTCGAATAACGATTTCCTGTAAATTTATCATAATAAATTTAATGTAAAACTATTAAAATTTTGATTAGCATTCTTGAGCTGTTTACTTGCATTCTATGTAGAACGGTCGAAAATAAACTAAATTGTTTTAAAATTTTCGTTTCAATTATTTGTTCGTGATTGTTTTTTTTATTGTAATTCTTACAAAGTTTCGTGCGTCACAGCGTATCACGTTAAAAAAATATTATTGGAAAGTACATAATTCAATTTAACTGTATGGAATTAGTTAATTTCGTTGGTAAACCGAATCGATTCGTCCCGAAATTTATTATTGACACTATCCTTTAGCAGGCGTTGTCTGCTGTTTGCGATTGTTTTGGTGTCAAGTGATTGGTTTGTGACTAACAGGCTTCTGTTTGTAACCATGGTATCAGATTGCAAATTGAGTTAGCACGTTAGCTATTGTTGTGGAAGGAAATCGCGACTGGTTTTCGATTATTGGGATTGGGATTTGTTTCTCTGGTGTATTCATCGGATTGGATGAATGTGGGTCGTACATTTAGGGCAGAATATAGGAATTATGAAATTGCTTTACCGGAAGACACTGGAGCGAGAAGAGTGTCAGGAACAGCAGCAGCTTGAACCACGGATTTTCCATTTTCGATCCTCGCCCAGAAAAAAAATTATATATATATATAAAACGCACACACAATAGAACTGTCGATCCGGTAGGATCCACTTCTGGCACGGGTCACTCCAGCACGAAGGATTTTTGTTCAGTTGTTCGAATTTCCAGCGGTCGCACGATTATTTGGGTGGGTAAAAAACGAAAACAGGGGAGGGTTGAAAATAAATAACTTTCGTTACGTTACGTTACTATCACCGCAATGTCATCACAAGCTCGGACTCACTCACTTTTAACTGGCGCTGGTGGCCACTATGATGAATCGAATGATGTCTGTGGTGGGGGCAATACTTCGCAGAAGGATTCAAGAAACTAGTTCGTCCACTTTTCACGAGGATCGGTTTTCCTGAAAAACCGATTTTCCTTCCAACGATGCTGAACACTCCATTTTACGTGTCAGGGCGACAGAAGGGGTGGCTCCGAATAACCCTGTTTTCCTGTCAGAATGCATCATCCGATAGGCAATCTCACTGCTTCTCCATAGGCAATATCACGTACACAGTAGAAATAACCCTTGAAAACATGCACATAACAGCAATAATTACTTAATCTTAACAATTTATATAATAAAAAAAACTATGTAAAGTCTAGTTTTATGCACTTACATGAATTGATCTATACTTTTAAACAACAATTTCCCAACAAGTTCTTAACAACATTCGAAAACGTCAAAACAACTTTACAATAAACAATAATACCAATAGCAGATTAATTTAAAATTAACACAAAACTTTAACTTTGTAAAATCAACAATAGATGGATTTAAAATAAAAAACTTGTAATTAGTTTATAAGCAAGTAAAAAGAACAATATATATGAATCTTTCAAGTAATTACCAATACAAAATTAAAAACTGAATATTTACATATATTTGTGATTATGAAATAATTCAATACATTATTAATATTAATATATATTTCCAAGTAATTCCAAAAGATGGTGCCTCTTATATTTGGTTAAAAACTGAAGAAAGGTTTTTGGAGAAGCTTCAATTTCGAGTTGATTTAGATTCACGATGTTGAATGTAACTGTAACAGTTACGTAATTACTGAAGATATTGTTTTGAGCGCCATCTGTTGCCTCGTCTCAACATACACACTACAAATCTTATTTTCAACAAAAAAAACTTATATAACATGAATCAAGTGGTATCATGTCAATATATTGTCATGGATACAGAAGAAGAAAAAAAAAAGTGAAAGACGAGATTTGATGCGTTTACGTAACATTATTATTCTATATTATTAATATTTTTATTGTTATAAAAAAACAAATCGTTCAAAATACAATATCTTCAATTTATTTTTATTTAATTTTTGTTTTGTTCACGTTGATCACCTCTAAATCCGATCGCGCTGCGACATTCTCCAGGAATCGTTAAAACATTTATTCAATTAATAATAATAATAATAATAAAAAAATAATAATGGAAAAAACAAAAACAAAGGATCGACAAAAATCATAATAGTAAATAAACGATGCCTTGAAAATTCAATAATATCGATAACAATATAAAAAAAAAACTTTTTAAAATCGCTCCAATCCGCCGACACCCGCTTCCGGGTTAGATTGGATCATTCCCATTCCGTGGTTCCTGGCGGCTTGGAAGTCAGGTCGTAGAGTACCCGCGAAATTCCGGGCACTTGGAGCACCTCCGCCATCATTTTATGTACAACCTGAAGCAAATGTTATTGATGATTCGAATTGATTGCGGTTCAAGTTATTTTATTCGACTCACCTCGACTGGTATATGTTTGCCGGGAACGGCAGGTACTCCGGTCATAAAGTCCTGGGTGACGAACGGCCTGAACACGACGGACCTCTGACACGAAGGTATTCTGAGGGCTTGGTCTCTGTCGAAGTGTAAAGGCAGTAGTACGACGGGCATTTGGCTCACCGAATCCATCAAACCCGCATTTTGTAACGCCTAGAAAAATAAACAGAAATTACAAACGATTCCTACAAAAAAATTGTTATTTCCTATTAATAACAGCTAAGTGAGTATAAAATACTGTAATTCGGGATGTAGCTCCGGACGCTAAGCTACCGGTTCCGAAGTTGTTCTCCCGATTCCACCTAAAGTCCAATTAAGGAAGTCAAGTGTTTTGATTTGCTCTAGGGAGATTGTATCAGCAACTTACTAAGACTATAAAGAAAGTCGCCTTCTTATCTCCCTTCTTCTTTCAACAATTACTTAATAGTTTGAGTTTGGAAGATAAAAGACTTACGGTTGTTGCTACGTCGTCGGCATGCCTGATGGTGCTGATCACATTGTTGGTGAGGTAAGTAGGTGTCAGATCTGGAACTATCTCTTTGACGAGACCGCCGAAGATGTAGCACACCCTGTTGATGTTGCGGCAGATCCTCGGGATGAGAACGGCCAGGAACATCATGTCGTCCCAATTTGGGTCCTGTTCGCTGGAGATGCCCGCCACATAGCTGTACGAACGACAATCGCCCTGCACGCCGACGCTGCGGATTGGTAGCAAGGTCGCAGACAGCTTTTGCTTACTGGAAATCCTACGCAAAACCTCCCTAAGCAAAAAAGAAAATTGTACATAATTTTCAATGTATATAAGTCAATTTGAATGATTCCAAATTCTTACCTTTCTTCGTCTGTTGTGACGCCTTCCACGCGGTTGAGTAATGCGTGTTTCTTCTGGAGCATCTGATCGAATTCGACAATGATCTTGACGAGGACCTGAGTTTCTGAGAAGTCGCGCTCGATGTAAGGTTCTTCGGCGCAGAGGACGCGGATCGCCAGACCCGGACCGGGGAACGGATGCCTCATGACCAGATCCCTGGGCAATCCTAAATCCCTACCGAGAGCCCTCACTTCATCCTTGTGGAAGTCCTTCAGCGGCTCGACGACGCGACCCTCGCTCCTGAGCTTCCTGATGAGTTCGGAATCGTTGTGATGCGTTTTGATTACATCCGCTTTGCTGGAGGCCAGCGTCGACGCGGACTCGATGAGATCCGGACGGAGAGTGCCCTGTGCAAGGAGCACCTCCTCCGGCTTCAGGTTCATCTCGGCGAGGAAATCATCCGAGATCTTCACGAAGACATCTCCGATAATCTTGCGTTTCTCCTCCGGATCAGCAGTTTGCGAAAGCATCTTCGTCACCCGGGTCCTGGAGTTCGGCTCGTTCCTGTCGATGGGCACGACGGTGGTGCCGCCGCTGAACGCGCACTGCGCGTTGATCACGCGTATATTCAGACCAAGTTTCTGCAGCGATTGGGCTACGCGGGCGCTCTCGTTCTTCCTCATGAAACCGTTGTCTATGTGCACGGCGATGATCTGCTCCGGTTTGAGAGCTTTGTGCAGAAGGGCGGCGCACACGGCACTGTCCACGCCACCGGACACGAGCACCAGCACCTTACTGGATCCCACCGAATCCTTGATATACTTGATGCACTCGGATTCGCGTCCTTGGATCGTGAAGTTTCCGGTCAAACCGACGACGTCGAACAGGAAATTGCGCAGCATCGCCTTGCCGTTCGACGTGAGATCCACCTCTGGATGGAATTGGACACCGTACAGTCGCAGCTTCTCGTTATGGATGCCGGCGCAGAAGGAGGAGCTCTGAGCGATCGGCTTGAAACCATCCGCTACTTTATCTATCGAATCGCCGTGAGTCAAGAGAACTTGCTGCATCTTGTCTAAACCTCTACAAAGAACGTTTCGTCATTAATATATTATAATTACTGATTACCCATTAATGTTAATATTTAATGTGTTTCAGTTATAATTACATCAACGCAAAACAATACTCACTTGAATAATAAACATTTGGGATTAACTTCTATGTTAAATTGACCGTCCTCTCTGCTCTCTTTCCTGAGCACGGTGCCGCCGAACTCTTTGTTCATCATCTGCATGCCGTAGCAGATGCCAAGAACGGGCAGACCTATCCTGAAGATGTCCGCATCGTAGCGAGGGGCGTCTTCTGAGTATACCGAGGACGGACCGCCGGAGATGATGACCGCCTTGTATCCTGCCTCCCGAATGTTGAAGGCGGGCGTATCCAAAGGGAGGAGCTCCGATTCCACGCACAGCTCTCGCACCTTCCTGTCGATGACCTTTCCGTACTGCGCGCCGGCATCGAGGATGGCCACCCTCTCGGTGTTCACCGCCGACCCGTTGGCCGTGCTCATGTTATACTGACCCTCGGAGTTTAGGTTATGCATTGCGCCGCTGCTCCAGCAACACTAAACGACACAAAAAGAGAAAAAAACACGTGGATTAGTAGGCGAAGAACAACCAAAAGCTTCACATCAAAATTCGCATGCTTGATACATTCACGAGGAGACCTTGATTTTATATTGGAAAGAAGGAACGGGGGCGTGTCTTGAAATCAACTAACCAATCGCATTGCATTAAAATACAAAATTTTAAATTTAAATAAATTATGAGGTTTTAATCTATCCGAATAATTAACATGTTTATATTTAAACTTTCAACGATGATAAAATAAATGCTTCGAATGGTTTATTCCCATTTAATTTCTTGCCCAATCGGAATCCATTCAATCAATGTTTCGTATTGAAGTCGAGCGATAAATCGCGTGTAACTGAAAATAGACACTCAGATTTGGACTAACGGAGATCAAAACGCGATTTTTAGAGGTCGTAGCATATTTCCCAACCGCGATTTGGATGGACATTGCCTTGAAGCGATAGAGAAGATGAGATTTAAATATTACAACAACAATCACAGCACTATTGATCTCTTAGGATCAGGATGAGGGTTGCATGCAAACGATTTTAATTATAAATAAACACACTCATCGTCAGGCAACAATGAAAAGCAAATGCAGGGTTAGAAGTTTATTTATAGTGTCTAATGGGGAGGGTTTCCAAAGCAACGCATTCAACAATGTACCTCTGCAAGTAGTGTGTAAATTTTGCGGTAAATTGCTGCTGATTTGTGTTGCCTCAGTTATGATCAAGTCTTTTTTGATTTATCGTGTGCACTTCCTTTCTCTGCAAGAGGTTGTGATGCGACTGAGCACTCTCTTTCTTGTCTGTATCAATGAGGCACAGTGCTGACCCCCAGTGAGTGTGCAATTTCCCCCCTCAAACAAAACTGAGAGATGTTCAAATGCGATGCCAAGTATTAACAAGTAGTGCAGATGTTATAAATAGATGTGTGCGAGAGGGAACTCCAAAACAACATCCTGAGCCAAACAGAAAGAGAAGAACAGAGAGACAAAAAAAAAGGTATAAAGTGTGTGTGTGTGTATCGGGCAGCTTATGATGATTCATGGGTGCATCCCCAACATTGTGGATAGGCTGTGTTTTGTTTTGTCACAAAGCTGACCCCCCAAAAAACATGCTGTCTCGCTGTGTGTGTGTGTTTGCGTGTGGTAACGCGAATGACCTACAAAGTCGACTGAAAGGTCCTTCGGTTCAGAGATGTACGGCTCCGCCGTAGGGCCGGTCATCGGTGTGGGTCACCAATTTAGGGCACTTACCTCGATATATTGCAATAACTGATCAAACTCGATTCGCAATCAGTGGATTGTTCGGTGTCAATCACATCACTTCACGTAAAAAAAAAGAGGAGCACTGCTACCAACGTTGCAGACATGGTAACATGCTTCCTCATCGACATCCCACCCAGAGAGGTCACCACCATCAATCGGAATAAATCTCACATTAATTAACTAAATATTATATTATAACTCAATTAAATCAATATAATTAATGAACTAATTCTTCTCTTTCCTCTACAATTGATTCATTTTCATCTACACAAAGAACCAACCTAATTTCCTATATTATTTTTCCAGTAAAAGATGGCGCAAGCTTAAATTAATGTTATAATAATTTGTATTTGCAAACAAATTACCGATTGTTTTCACTATATTAAAGCTACTTGCATTAAATTTAGTCAATCTTATTACATAATTAATATAGATGGCGCACATTTGTAAATAATTTATATTTTTAAAGAAATTTATAACATTTTTTCCTATAAAAGTCAATCTATTTTATAATTAATACTAATAATAATAATTAAGAAATCTAAAATAGTCATGTTTTGGTGTTTATTGGGGCTTTAGCCAATAAATTCTCCAATTGCCGCTTCAAATGTTGCTCCGTTTCCGGTTCCGTTTCAAGGATTTCCGTGGCCATCTCCAACAAATCGAAGCATCTCTTGAAAACTTCCTAGAAAAACCAATTAATTTAGAAACTAATGAAGAATCTCTTTTTGTCCTTGTTGTACAGAAACCCTTATATTTGGTTCTTTGCTTAACTGAATATATTTGATTCAAAAGTAATCATCAAAATATTCGTAACTCAAGCTTATATGAACATGCAGATGTATCCAATAAATTAGTAAAAACAAACATTCTTTGCAGAAAGTCAATTGTTTCGTCCATAGATTTTATATGGTTTTAACTTTGGAAAATGAAACGAGTTATAATTATCAATGATATCTTACGTTCTTTACTCTCGAAGATTTTCGAAATTATTCCATGAATTCTATCTAAGTTTTACGTATTTTTTAGCTAAATTTTGATAAAAAAGAAAAATATATTGATTCGACAGAAAACTGTGTTTTGTTATACAGCTTACCAACTTCAAATATTGAAATTACAAAACTATCCCTGAAATCTTCCTGAAGCTCTAATCGACCTTTGAAACGTCACTTACTTTAGATTTATTCAAATTTGGATCGTCGGTCTTCAATTCCCTAAAAGTCTTCTCGGCTAAAGCGGCTTGCAGATCGTCCAGAAGGTTACCACGGAATCTGGAAGATCCAGGTTCGAGTTTGTCTGCAATTTGGATCAATTCCTCGCACAAATCAATCTTTCTCTTCAGCAAATCTTCTGGTAATTCTGAAAATTATTGAGTTTAGATTTATCGTTTTCGATTGAAAGTTTTCTCACCTTCTAATTTGAAGCCTGCTAGATTACCGTACATTTGCGTTAGGGCGTATTTAACTTCTAACACGTGACAGTTCGTCTCGTGAAGCACGTCTTTGTATTTCTTCAAGAAATTTTCGAAATTTTCTGGATCGCTTCTATCTATGCAATACACTTCTCGCCTGAGAACTTCGTTCAAACTGTCCAACTCATCGTGGCCGAGCAGATGATTGCATTTATCGCATTTCCATCCAGCTTTAACATCCAGAGGATCTTCGCTGACAACCAAACCGTTGTGGCAGTTGGTGCAGATGATTGAACCGGCGAACGTTCCGTATTCCGTCGGATCTTCGCACCTCGAGCAAGTGCAATCAAAGTTCTTCGCCTGCTTCAGATGCGCCCTCCTCGCTGCCGTGCACCAAAGGGTTTGCGTGTAAGTCGTAGTCAGAATCTCGCCCTTTTTAATGGGAACAGTCGCGATTACGTGGATCTCGTGGTTATCTCCGTGGAAGCTATGCTTCGTGTTGATCTTGCAATCGTGCGATATCAACGAAACCATCGGATACAAACCTCTGATGTTGACGAGACCTTTGGTGTCGCGGATTTCGAAAGAGTTCGTATCGAAGATCGAGCAAATCGTGAGGATTTCCTCTGGATCACCAATACCAAAGCCTCTGAAGATAGGGACTAAAGACGCTTTTAACATCCGGTAAATCGGAGAGTTTTGGTTATCTTCCAGATGAGATTGCATGCTTAACAATGATTCAAATTGACTTTTGTTCCTTGTTTTTAGGATTAGGGCGCGCATCGGTGCTATCAGCGAGTAGATTCCTTGCTTGGTGTTGGATCGCTGCACGCGAGGAGTGTAATTCTTTCTTGAAAACACCTCGCATTCGTGTTGATGGTAACCGGAAGATTCGCATGTTTTCGAGCATAGGGGCCAAGAGCATTTCGGGCATTCGTGGAAGTCGTTCTGTAACCGTTTGTGACAACCCAAGCAGACAGGAAAACTGGCCATCTTTGGTGCTATTAACAGAGGGAATTTCTTCATGATTATCGCGTTCTGCGGGATGTCTCTTGTGGCTACCAAATGACGACCCAATCTCAGACTTGTCACGATCTTGTATGGTGCGCATTTCGGCTTGTGATTCTTCCAATCTTGTCTCTGGTGATCTTTGGAACAGTAGAAGACTTCGTTGCAAAGGGAGCAGCTTTGCTCCGAAGGATTTTTGCATATCGCGCAGCTGTTACTCATCTAAAATATTTAGAAATTTAATTAAACTAATCTAAACTACATAAATAAAATCAATTAAAGTGATTCCAAACTTTTTTTGTTATTGTTTTGACAGTTAAAAAAATGAAAGACATACTTGGATCAATTAAAAATTGATTTTGTATTATGACAGTGACATTTCGGTTTATTGTTTCACAAATTTCCAAAGAGACTTCGATCAATTATTGTTGTTTTTCACAATTTTTCAAATACACTTACTGCGATCAATTTATATAAACAAAATATCGAAAACACTTACTGCGATCAATTATGATGCTTCGATGTTGCAGTAGTTAAGTGATGAGAATTTATGGGCTGTGTGCAGCCAACTGACAAGCCGTGATCCGTTCCTAACTTACATCCGAACTCATTCATCGGATAAATTTAGAGATCCATCCTATCTTGTTTATTTTCTCTTCTTTTTTTTTTGATATATATGTAACGGACGTGCGCATATTTTTATTTATATTCTCCAAATAAATGCTAGATTCCCCAAACATTCAGCTTTCATATGCATCTATTGGCTTTATTCTATCTATTATAGTTTTCGAGTAAATCAATGAAATGTTAAAACACTGCTTTTTCGAGCATTTTTAAACTTTGAACACGAATTACAGCCAAACTGCTAAAACCACAGTAATATATCGATACTTGCTAGATTCCCCAAACATTCAGCTTTCATATGCATCTATTGGCTTTAATCTATCTATTACAGTTTTCGAGTACATTTATGAAATGTAAAAACACGGCTTTTTCGAGCATTTACGAGCATTTACAGACAAACGGCTAAAACCACAGTAACATATCAATACTTGCTAGATTCCCCAAACATTCAGCTTTGCTATGCATCTTTTGGATTCAATCTATGTATTATTGTTTTCGAGTAAATCATTTTTTAAA